AGAGAAAAATAGGAGATTGATTAGGATTTTCATTCCATATCATAAAAGAAAAAAAATGGAAAAACAAAGGCATATAATTAAGCGATAATTAATGAAAGTGTGTTAAGTTACTATTTTTAGAGTGTAATTAATGAATTTGGCGGAAAAGTTTTCTAAAAATGAATTAAGTTAATCCTTATTATATATTAATAGATTTATTTATTTATTTTAAGGAAAAATATAATTGTACCTAGATTATTTATAGAGATTGAATAACTTGATAATTTGCATATAAAACTATTTATCATTTCCAATTTAGAAATTCAATAACTTGATAATTTGCATATATAACTATTTATAATTTTCAAATTAGCATTGGTTTTAATGGCCATTTTTTTCCTTTCAAATATATAATTGTAATCTTGTCTGATTATTTGTTGATAAATAGAATATATACATCAAATAACCAAGAAGTAACACAAAAGTTTGGTATTTTTAACTTAAAAACTAATTATGTAGTTTACATAAAAATACAAATAAAATAGTAGGTGTCATAACAACAAAAAAACGATATAAAACCTGTCAAACAATATCAAAATAATTTTCTGTCAATAATGAAATATTAATTTAAGTTTTATAACAAGTATATACGTTTGTGAATTCCACAACAATAAAAAAACCACCATTACAACAATTGAACAACATCAAAACAACTTCTCATCAACTTAAATAATATCAACAATATGTCAGGCGAAACAATCGGTCCAAGATCTCAAATGGAATTCAATCCGTAGTCCGAAGCTGAAGACGAAGATGGAGATCGGTGTCTTCTACGCCTGACCAATATACCACGTCCAACCCCTCGATGCGTAGCCGCAGACGATGCCGCTCGACACGTGAGCCTGGATTCCGTTTTAAATATTAAATAATGAACAATTGGTATAACCAAACAAAACAATGAACCATGTGGGCTAAAAATAACACCGGGCTCCATACTATCATCAATATACTACAAGAAGAAAATCAAGTGCTTTCAAGAAGAAAATAGTCAAATAAAATGGGCGAGTCTTAAACTCATGAATCATGAAAACACTTACTGTTTCTATTTTACCAGAAAAATATTTCAAAGAATTTGTAGCAGAATGACCAGCATAAAGAGCAACTTTCACACCACTAAACATCTAAATTTTCTTCCCACGACAAAACCCATGTCTAACCCAATTCGATCTATACAAATTCAATTCTCACCCAAAATCTCTGGAGCGGGACCGACGAAGCAGGCGTTGGCTTTTTCGAATCGTTAGCCCTTTCTCTTGAATTTCATTTTCAAGAGACTAGGCGTAATCACCTAATTACGCCTAGTCGGATACCTGATTCGAGAGTAAGCCCTTTTATTTTCCGATTTATTCATCACACCCAAATTCTTTTGATATGCAGCACAAGTTGTCTCCGAAAAAAAAAAGGAAAAAGAGAAGAAAGGTGAGAACT